GTGTGCGGACGTGCTGTAAGCTGGTCTTACAGGGCGAGGTGCTGAGCAGCCGCCTCCGCCCCCGGCCGCTCGGTTTGGTTTCTCTGTTCAACGTGTTTGTTGTAGGTTTTAAATGTTTGGGCTCTGCTCCTGCTGTGCCTGGGTGGGGCGACCGGGAGGCGGGTGTCGTGCGGCGTCCCACGGGCTCTGCTGGCCAGGCAGTGCGGAACCCCTCCGCCTCCCAGAGCCTGCATGGTGCAAAGATTTGTCTTTAGTTCAGTTTGGGGGTTGGTTGTATCTAAATGCTCCCGCCATGTTTGTTGTAGGTTTTAAATGTTTGGGCTCTGCTCCTGCTGTGCCTGGGTGGGGCGACCGGGAGGCGGGTGTCGTGCGGCGTCCCACGGGCTCTGCTGGCCAGGCAGTGCGGAACCCCTCCGCCTCCCAGAGCCTGCATGGTGCAAAGATTTGTCTTTAGTTCAGTTTGGGGGTTGGTTGTATCTAAATGCTCCCGCCAGCTTGGTAGGGGAGGGGGCCGCTCAGTGCTGTTTGGAGAGGGACTGGGGAACTTCCTGCCACTAGACTGGCCAGTCGATGACTGTCCCTGGCACCTAAGCACAGAGCTGGATCGGCCCAGGGCCTGCAGGTGCAGAACAAGCTGCCCACCCCCAGCTGGGGGAGCTGCTCTGTTTAAATTCCTGGGCCTAGACCTTGGTCCCTTGACTTTTTGTTTCCGTTGAAGGTTGTTTCCTTTGCCTTAGCAGCTTGGTTGAGTTCCTGGCTGGGCCCGGGCGGTGAGGTCCAGGGACTGTCCCGTGCCGTGGGGCAGAGCACGGGACAAGTGCTGGGGAGGGGGAGCCCCCCCCCCGATGCTGCCTGCGCTGCTGGGGAGAATCCAGGGTGGGTTGCTCCGGGCCCAGGTGTGGCCCTGTGGGCCCTGGGCGGGGCTGGGGGCAGACTTGGGCTCCTGCCCAGAGGGGGGTCGTGGCTGGGGCCGGCGGGGGGGGGGTTTTATGGGGAGTGAAAGGCAAATACCGTGTCCTGTCACCTGGTGTGTGGTGCCCCCTCCCCCCCGTGCCCCCACAGCTGGACCCCTCCCTCCCTCCCTCTTGCACACAGTCCCCTCCTGCATTGTCACTCCCCAGGTTTGCTCCACCCCAGAACCTGCTGCTCCCCTGAAGAATGAACGGGGCTCTGGGCATCTCGGTTGCCAAAGCCAATGCACTGCGCGTTCCCTCTTCCCTTCCCCTCCCACCCAGGCACCCCCTGGCCCCGTTAATTCCTCACCCCGGTGCATGTGCTGCTCCTTCCATAATGCCCCCTCCCCCTCGTTCTCCGAGCACGGCGCAGCAGGCGGCTGAATCCCGGCTCGGTGAGTGTGGCTGCCCCAGGGCCTGGGCAGGGCAGAGCCGCGCCGGGTGCTGCACGAGGGACCGACAGGCTGGGGGCAGGCTCTGGAGCTCACAGGCCCGAGGGCGTAATAGGAACGGCAAACAAACAAACGCTCCACCGTCCCCATCTTGCTGCAGTGGCTGCCAGGGGTCAGGGCCCCAGGCTGGGGGAGGGGGGGAAGTGGCAGACTCGATTGGTAAAGGTATTTTACCTCTGATTTTTTTTTTTTTTTTAAGCAGCTGGGGTGGTGCCTAAATCCCTTTGACAGTCTGAGGCCACATCCTGTCTTTCACTCCCCCTCCTGGGCTAATTCGCCCCCACTCTCCCCAGGTCCCCACAGCGCCAGTTATGCCATGGCCAGCCCTGCCTGGAGCCACGGTGCCCTGGCCCACCCTCCGCTGCCAGGGCCGGTAGTGAGGCTGGCAGCTCCCCAGGAGCGGAGCCAGGCCCTGCAGCCCCTGGGGACGGGCCAGGGGAGGAACCACCCGGAGCTAGCAACAGCCAAGTGGAGCAAACTCCTGCCCGGTGCTGGCTGGGAACAAACACAGCTTCCTGCCCCACCTGTCCCCAGCCGTCAGGATGGCCGAGCGGTCTAAGGCGCTGCGTTCAGGTCGCAGTCTCCCCTGGAGGCGTGGGTTCGAATCCCACTTCTGACAACTGCTGTTTTTGTTAAACTGGGCGCTGGCACCACTGAGGCAAATGTCTGGATGCGGCTGCTGTCCCAAAGCCCCGGGGTGCCCAGGAGCAATTCACTCTCCCAGGCCCCCTCAGAAG